TCCAGCATGGAGAGCTCACCCACTGGGGAAGCATGTATTTACCATGGAAAAAGTATGGTTATCGGAAGTTTCTTCTTTTTTAAGAACGGGATTAGAGGTGCTGTCTGGGGTGTCCTCTTACCAAGCAGCGTGTTGAAGGCCTGGTGGTGTTCAGGGAGCACGGGTGACACTCGCCGTCGCTTTAGCTTCATCTTGAGCCCCTGAAGCGTGTCCAGCACCGAGGTGTCCTCAGGCTCAGGGGAGCGCTCCTTCTCTGTCTCCTCCACGGGCTCCTCCTCAGATTCTTCCAACCACTCCCTCTTCCTTTTACAGCAAAGGAAATTAGGCGGGATGGATCCTACCCAAGGAGTTGTGTAAAGAAAGCAGGCCACCGTGTAATGCTTCTGCAACTGATCACCTTAGACGCAAAACCCAAAACCCCAATCCACTCTCCATCCGCCCCAGCCCCGCAGACTGTTGGCTTCTCTGAGCCATCTTTCCATCTTTCTCCCTTACTGAACCCCATGTGTCTGTCCTTCTCCTCCCCATTCTTCCATCTGCTGTCCTCAGAATGCTTCATTTCCTTCCCTAGTCCCCTCCATTTTTTTTTTTTTTTTTTTTTTTTTGTGAGACAGTCTTTCTCTGTCACCCAGGCTGGAGTGTAGTGTTGCCATCTCGGCTTGTTGCAAACTCCGTCTTCCAGGTTCCAGTGATTCTCCTACCTCACCCTCCCAAGTAGCTGGGATTACATGTGCCCACCATAATGCCCAGTTCATTTTTGTATTTTCTGTAGAGATGGGGTTTCACCATGCTGGCCAGGCTGGTCTCAAACTCCTGGCCTCAAGTGATCCACCTGCCTTAGCCTCTCAGAGTGCTGGGATTACAGGTGTGAGCCACTGTGCCTGGCCTGAGTCCCTTCTTTCTTCCCCCACACCCTCCTCAAGTGTTCCTTTCTGATGACTGGGTTCTTCCTTCTTCTTCTTTTTTTTTTTCCTTGACACAGGGTCTCACTCCCTCACCCAGACTGGAGAGCAGTCGCAGGATGTCGGCTCACTGCAACCTCGGCCTTCCAGGCTCAAGCGGTTCTCCTGCTTCAGCCTCCTGAGTAGCTGGGATTACAGGTGTGCACCAGTACTGCCAGGATCATGTTTGTATTTTTTTATTTTGATTTTTTTTCCCTTTTTTTTTCTTAGAAGTATATCCTATGGATGATGTTTGTATTTTTAGAAGAGATAGGGTTCCACCATGTTGGCCATGATGGATTCAAACTCCTGACCTCAGGTGATGCACCCACGTAAGCCTTCCAAAGTGCTGGGATTACAGGTGTGAGCCACGGCGCCCGGCCCCCTTCCTTCTTCTTAGTCAATCCTCTCCCATCTCTTCTTGCTCCAGTCCCCTCACCTGATGGTCCTGGCACTTCATCATCCACCACCTCTAGGAGGCAGTACCCCAAGGTGCTAGGCTGGGGGCTCTTCTCCTCAACCAGGGGCTGCGGTTGACAGCTGGCCATGATCTCTCCTAAACTCTGTTCCCTCCCACGGAACCTGGTCCCTGTTCTGTCCAAAGCCTTCTTCCAGACTCGACTAGGACCCAGCAGAGTGCGTTCTGTATTCTCAAGGCTGGGGAGCAGTCGGGAGCGGAGATCAGCTCTGAGAAGATGCTGTCGTCCACCTGAGCTTCCAAGCGCCAACAAAGGTGAGTCCAATCAGGAAGACTGGAATCTCTCATGTCATTGTTTATTCCCACCTGGCAACGAGGTTGAAGAAAGGCATACGGGGGTGGGCACAGTGGCTCACGCCTGTAATCCCAGCACTTTGGGAAGTGGAGGTGAGCAGATCATGAGGTCAGGAGTTCAGGGCCATCCTGGCTACCACCGTGAAACCTTGTCTCTACTAAAAATATAAAAAATTAGCCGGCGTGGTGTGGTGCTGGCCTATAATCCCAGCTACTCAGGAAGCTGAGGCAGGAAAATCGCTTGAACCCAGGAGGTTGGAGGTTGTAGTGAGCCGAGATCACGCCATTGCACTCCAGCCTGGGTGACAGGGCAAGACTCTGTCTCTAAAAAAAACATAAAGACAGCAAGAGACATTAAGTTTCAGAGGGCACAGCTGAAACTGCTTTCTGGGCTTTTTGATTTTGTTTTTATTTTAATTTTATTTATTTTTTGGAGACGGGGTCTCACTTTGTCACCCAGGCTGGAATGCAGTGGCGCAGTCTTGGCTCACTTGCATCCTCTGCCTCCCTGGTTCAAGTGATTCTCCCTCCTCAGCCTCCTGAGGAGTTGCGATTACAGGCCTGGGCCACCACACCCGTCTAATTTTGTATATTGAGTAGAGACGGGGTTTCACCATGTTGGTCAGCCTGGTCTCCAACTACTGACCTCAGGTGATCTACCCACCTTGGACTCCCAAAGTGCTGGGATTACAGGCATGAGCTACCGTGCCTGGCCTTTGTTGTTCTGAGACAGGGTTTTGCTCTGTCACCCAGGCTGGAGTGCAGTGGTGCAGTCATAGCTCACTGCAGCCTCCAAGTCCTGAGTTCAAGCGATGCTCTTGCCTCAGCCTCCCAGTGTGCTGGGATCTCAGGCTTGAGCCACTGCGCCTGGCCGAAACCAAGCGTTCTTATCCCAATCACAGACCCTTATCAAGTCTAGCCGAGTCCTCTATGGCCTCCTAAGTGTCCCTCATGAGTGATGCTGAGGATCCTCTGAGTCCTCCCACGTGGAGAGCTCACCCACTGGGGGGCATATTTTTCCCATGTGAAAAGTATAGTTATGGGAAGCTTCTTTTTTAAAAGAACAGGATTGGACGTGCTCTCTGGGGTGTCCTACCAAGCAGCCTGTTGAAGGCCTTGGGGTGCTCAGGGAGCACGGGTGACACTCGCCGTCGCTTTAGCTTCATCTTGAGCCCACACAGGGTGTCCAGCACCCAGGTCTCTTCAGGCTTAGGGGCGCGCTCCTTCTCTGTCTCCTCCTTGGGCGGCTCCTCAGATTCGTCCGACCACTCCATCTTCCTGTTCCAGCAAAGGAACTTACTCGGGGTGCCAGGATCTACCCAAGGGACTGAGTAAAGAAAGCAGGTCACCGTGTAATGCTTTTGCAATTGATCACCTTTGACCCTGACCCTAAACCCCAAACCACTTTCCATCCTCCCCAGCCCCGCAGACTGTTGGCTTATCCAAGCTATCTTTCCATCTTTCTCCCTTGCTGAATCCCATGTGCCTCTCCTCCTCCTCCCCATTCTTCCATCTGTCTGTCCTCAGAATGCTTCCTCATTTCCTTCCCTAGTCACTGAATCTCTGAGTCCCTGTGTGTTTGTTTATTTTTTGAGACATAGTCTTGCTTTGTCACTCAAGCTGGAGTGTAGTGGTGCCATCTCAGCTCCCTGAAACCTCCATCTCCTGGGTTCCAGTGATTCTCCTGCCTCAGCCTCCTAAGTAGCTGGGATTACAGGTGCTGGTCATAAAGCCCAGCTCATTTTTGTACTTTTTGTAGGTACAGGGTTTCAATATGTTGGCCAGGCTGTCTCAAACTCCTGTTTTCAAGTTATCTGCCTGCCTTGACCTCCCAGCATGCTGGGATTACAGGTCTGAGCCACTGCACCCAGCCCGAGTCCCTCCTTTCTTCCCACACACCCTCCTCAGGAGCTTCTTCCTAACTTGTGCGCCCCTTTTTTTTTTTTTTTTTTTTGACACAGGGTCTCAGTCTTTCAATCAGACTGGAGTGCATTGGTGCGATCTCGGCTCACTGTAACCTCAGCCTCCCAGGCTCAAATAATTGTCTTGTTTCAGCCTCACGAGTAGCTGGAGTTACAGGCATGCACCAGTACCACCCAGCTAATTTTTGTATCTTTAGTAGAGGCAGGGTTTCACCATGTTGGCCAGGCTGGTTTTCAACTCCTGACCTCAGGTGATTCACCAGCTCAGCCTTCCTTGATACTGGGAGTATATTAATATGAGCCACCACACCCGGCCCCCTTCCTTCTTCTTAGTCAATCCTCTCCCATCTCCTCTTCCTCCAGTCCCCTTACCTGATGGTCCCAGCACTTCATCGTCCATCACTTCCAGGAGGGAGTACCCTGAGGTGCTAGGCTGGGGGCTCTGCTCCTCAGCCTCGGGCTTTAGTTGACATCTAGCCATGATCTCTCCCAAATTCTGTTTCCTCCCGTGGAACCTAGTCCGTGTTCTGTCCAAAGCCTTCTTCCAGACTATACTAGGACCCAGAAGAGTGCCTTCTCTAGTCTCAAGGCTGGGGAGAAGTTGGGAGTGGAGAACAGCTCTGAGAAGATGCTGTTGTGCACCTGAGCTCCCAAGCGCCCACAGAATCCGGTCCTTCTAATCAGGAAGGATGGAATCTCTGATGTCATTGGTCATTTTAACCTGGCAACCAGTTTGAAGGAAAACACATGTAACTGCCAGGCTGGTCTCTTGTCCTGGAGATCCAGGGTCAATGGCATCTCCTGCCACTGTCCCAACTGCAGACCATTGTCCAAAAGCATCTTCAGGGTCTCTGCATCCCTCTGTTCCCCGTCCCAGCAGAAGCTGTGTCCTTTCCACTTAAAGCTTGCAGTGTGTTGGGGTCTCCTCTGTACATGGCCATTTCAGAGTCCAGTCTGGTGGGAGAGGGAGCTGGGTGGCTAGGAAAGGTAGGGGAAGCAGAAACAATGAAACCTTACAAGAGTGAGATTCACATGTACAAGAGATCCCAGGTACATTAACTCAACGAAAAAGTTACATCTAAGCATTCAATTTGGCAAAGCTTTTGTGCTGAATGTTTTCTACATTCACTGTTTGAGATTCTAGACTGGGTTACACGCATCCTCTGCCCTAAGGCATCTTTGAGTTCAAGAGACATTCTGAGGACTGAAAATCATAGGAAACTGTCCATGTGCTCTCATGTATTTCCAATGGTCTCACCAATTTCAGGGAGTTCATGAATCACCTAAAGCCAGCCCCTCCAGTTCAGCTAAGAAATTCAACTCTAGTCTATATATGAAGTTTTGTATCATATATATAGCTCTTAACTCAGAAATTCCCCTACCATTTATGCATTCTGTGAATAAAATATTTCATGTAGAAGAACACTAAATGGAAAAATCTCAGCCATGCACAGTGACTCAGGTTTGTAATCCCAGCAGTTTGGGTGGCCAAGAAAGGAAGATTGCTTGAGGTCAGGAGTTCTAGATCAGGGTGGGCAACATAGCAAGATGTCATCTCTAAACAAAACAAAACAAAACCAAATTAACCAGGAGTGGTGGCTGGCACCTGTGTTCCAGCTACTTGGGAGACTGAGGCAGGAGGATCACTTCAGCCCAGGAATTAGAGACTGCAGTGACCTATGATCGTGCCACCACACTCCAGCCTAGGCAACACAGCAAGACCGTGTGTCAAAAAAAATTTTTTTAATAAAAAATAAAAGAGTTGCATGACATTGAGAGACCTTCCAAAGAACCTGTGTGTTCCAGCCCAGTGCAGTGGCTCATGCCTGTAATCCCAGCACTTTGGGAGGCCAGAGCAGGTGGATCACCTGAGGTCAGGTGTTTGACACCAGCCCGGTCTACATGGTGAAACCCCATCTCTACTAAAAATACAAAAAAGTAGCCGATCATTGTGGCAGATGCCTGTAATCCCCACTACTTGGGAGGCTGAGGCAGGAGAACTGCTTGAACCTGGGGGGTGGATGATGCAGTGAGGCGATGTCACACCATTGACTCCAGCCTGGGCAACAAGAGCAAAACTCCATCTCAAAAAAAACCCAAAAACCCAAACAACCTGTGGGTGTGTTCCCACACAGCTTCCTAACGGGCTCCGGCTCTCCTAGGAGTCTCTTGCTCATGGGAAAGGCAAAACCTTAAGGAGGAAGCTGATCCCACTGCTGTGGAAGTCCAATTGTTAGGAAGCTCTGCTTTTCTGGCATTAAAAGTTGCATTCATGTCACTTTCAACCGTCAGAGCTGGTTGGGTCCTCCTACAACAGAACAGTTTCCTCTGTCTCTCCTAGTTAATAAGCTTTCAAATACTGGAAGATCAATGTTCTGAGCCCATTACAGTTTCTCTTTTGTGGAATGACAAGTTCTGAGTTAACCAGTTTCCAAGTCTGGTTTGCATATTCCTCTCTCTTCCAGCTACCTTGTCTAGACTACTTGGGAGACTGTGGCAGGAGGATCACTTCAGCCCCAGGAGTTAGAGGCTGCAGTGAGACACTATATGGAGGCCGTGCCCGTCTCAAATGATGTTGATATATTGTCAAAAATGGGCAAAACCAGCAAGGCATGGTGGCTCATGCCTGCAATTCCAGCACTTTGGGAAGCTGAGGCAGATGGATCACCAGAGGTCAGGAGTTTGAGACCGGCTTGGCCAACGTGCTGAAACCCATCTCTACTAAAAATACAAAAGAGAAATTGCTGGGCATGGAGTGCACATCTGTAATCCCACGTACTTGGGAGGCTGAGGCAGGAGATTCGCTTGAATCTGGAAGGCGGAGGTTGCAGTGAGCCGAGATCGTGCCAAGCGCTCCAGCCTGGGTGACGGGGTCAGACTGTCTCAAAAATATAAAAAGTGCTGAACAGCTCAGGTTTGGTCTGATATGTTCAGAAGAAAGCAAAACACTCACCTCTCACTTCTTCTTTTCTTGCAATACTGCAGTTTAATGCAACAATGAATATAGGTATGCTGCAGAAATATCACTCAAGTGAAACAGAAGGCCTTTCCTGGCCAGACACAGTGGCTCACACCTGCAGTCCCAACACTTTGGTTGACCAAGGTGGGAGGATTTCTTGAGGCCAGGAGTTTGAGTCTGCAGTGAGCTGTGATCCCATGACTGCGTTCCAGCTTGTGCATCAGAGGGAGGCCTGTCTCTAAAAAAGACCCTTTGGCTCCAAAAAAGGGATTTGCAAATACCAGCCTTTCAGCATGAGGATCACATGGAGGAACATGAAGATACAGATGCTGGGGCCCAGCCCCATTGATTCTAATTCAAAAAACTGAGGTGGGGCCCAATTCACTTCGTCCTTGGGATCCATTCAGATTTGGAACTCCCTGGGTTGGAAAGTACAGGAGAGATCCCCAAGAAAGCAAGATCACCATGGACTGAAATGAGCAGAGATTTTCTGAGCGTGGTGAAATCTGATCTGGGCCTCACAGGGGAGGGCTGTGGCCAGGCCTTGAGTCCTTGGCCCAGTGGGACCTTCTGAAACAGCCTCCAAGCCGTGCCCCCACTTCATTTGCTGGTGGATGCCCCCACTTCAGCAGCCTTGGTGCTGATGGGATTAAGTGGACCTGCAGGGGACGATCAGCCCAGGTCTCAGCCCAGTAGCCTCTCCACACCTGGCCAGGATCTGCTCCTTCTGCTGTCTGCGCTTCTCTGCAGAGTAATGGCTTCGGTACCTTGAAGAGACCTTCCCCTTCTGGGACCCAGAAACCCAAAGAATCCTTACAAAAAATGGGATGAAATTACAGAAGACACCTCTGTGATGGGGAGATGTAGAAGAGGCTCTTCATGTTTGTTTTTTATTTTATTTTTTGAGACGGAGTTTCACTCTTGTCGTCCAGGCTAGAGTGCAGTGGCGTGATCTTGGCTCACTTCAATCTCCACCTCCCAGGTTCAAGGGATTCTCTTGCCTCAGCCTCCCAAGTAGCTGAGACTACAGGCATATGCCACCATGCCCAGCTAATTTTTGTATTTTTTGTAGAGACAGGGTTTAACCATGTTGGCCAGGATGGAATTTTCATATTTTTTTTTCAGTAGAGACGGGGTTTTGTCATTTTGGCCAGACTGGTCTTGAACACCTGACTTCAAATGATCTACCCAACTCTGCTTCACAAAGTGCTGGGTTTACAGGTGTGAGCCACCACACTGCTCTGTTTTTGTTTTTTAGAGGTAAGTTCTCTGTTGTCCTGGCTGGGGTGCAGTGGTACAATCAGCTCTCTGTCACCTCTTGGGCTCAAGCAGTCTTCTCTTCTCAGCCTCCCAAGTAGCTGAGACTACAGGTTCATGCCTGTAAGTAGATACAGCGTCTTGCTGTGTTGACCAGGTTGGTCTCGAACTCTTGGTCTCAAGCGATCCTCCTGCAGTGGCCGCCTGACATGCTAGGATTACAGGCGTGAGCCACGGAGCCTGGCCAGATTAGATGATCTTTAAGGGCCCTTCC